AAGTGTGGCACATGACAAAATAAAATACAGACCAATGCCAGTCATTGACACCTTTCTCAGGCTCCTAAACCATCCATTCATAGCATTGTCCTTTACCAGGGTGGTGTGGAAATATTATGTAAAAAATGTATTATATGGGAATTACCAGATACAGAACGAACAAGAGGAGGAGAACACTATAGGACGGCTGGCACAAATGTCGTCGCCGAGATCCCCGAGGCTGACTAAGCGGACGGTGGCTGAAGCCTTTCAGCAGCGGTTGGCGGGCGATGTAGAGAGCATCTCGACACCTACCTCGTTGAGCTCACTCAGAACACATATAAACAGGTGCTAAAATGGTTCAAGACCAATGCAAATACCTTTGGTATACTTCTGACACTCAGAGGGGCTTGTCTATAGCCATTATGCCTCTTCAGCTGGATATTCAGCCTTTGGTACTACTGATAACCATTGCATGAGTATACCATTCAGTTAAGACATTTTTACACTGCTATAAAGTACACCTAGCGGTAAATCCCAAGGTAATAAGTTGTAAATGGTTGCGTGAAGGCCCGCCGACCACTGCTGAAAGGCTTCAGCCACCGTCCGCTTAGTCAGCCTCGGGGATCTCGGCGACGACATTTGTGCCAGCCGTCCTATAGCGTTCTCCTCCTCTTGTTCGTTCTGTATCCGGTAATAAATTAAAAATAGATTTGTATTATATAACACTGCACGTGCGCCCTAGTAGAGGAGGAGCGAGAACGCTAAGGACGGATGGTTTAGGAGCCTGTATAAAACTGGTCTCCCTGAGATCACCAAGTATGACTAAGCAATCCAAAAGTAGTCATGGCTGAAGCCTCTCAGCAGCAGTTGGCGGGCAACTGAAGAAACACCTCGACACCAGAAAGTGCCAAAACTGAAAGATGCCTGATTGATACCATATTAGTTTAACCACCCTGCATGACCTATTGCCCCCTGGAGCATCCTATTATGCCTCTTAAACCCAATGTTCAGCCCTCAGTATCACTGTTGATGATTGTATTTATGCACAGTTCATTGATACATGGTAATTTACCTCAACAAGTCCCAAACAACAGGGATCGCTGGCTAATTGCATGTGTTACACCCCACCAACTGCCGCTGAGAGGCTTCAGCCATGACCGCTTTTGGATTGCTTAGTCATACTTGGTAATCTCAGGGAGACCAGTTCTATACAGGCTCCTAAACCACCATCCTTAGCATTCTCGCTTCTCCTTTACTAGGGGGCACGTGCAATGTTATGTAATACAAATCCATTTTTAATTTATTACCGAATACAGAACGAACAAGAGGAGGAGAACACTATAGGATGGCTGGCACAAATGTTGTCGCCGAGATCCCCGGGGCTGACTATGCAGACAGTGGCTGAAGCCTTTCAGCAGCGGTTGGTGGGCGATGTAGAGAGTGTCTTGACACCTACCTCATTGCACTCACTAAGAACACATATAAACTGGTGCTAAAATGGTTTAAGACCAATGCAAATACCTTTGGTATACTTCTGATGCTCAGAGGGGCTTGTCTATAGCCATTATGCCTCTTCACCTGGATATTCAGCCTTCGGTACTACTGATAACCATTGCATGAGTGTACCATTTAGTCAGGACATTTTTACATTGCTATAACGTACCCCGAGTGGTAAATCCCAAGGTGATAAGTTGTAAATGGTTGCGTGAAGGCCCGCCGACCACTGCTGAAAGGCTTCAGCCATCATCCGCTTAGTCAGCCTCCGGGATCTCGGCAACGACATTTGTGCCAGCTGTCCTATGGGCTTATGTACTATAGGTGTGGACTTTTAGATCAATTAAAGAAATTAAATTGAAGGAGAGAGAGAAAGAGAAGGGAAAGACACTCCATTCCAGCCCCGTGAGCTTCAGAAGGGGTATATTATTCAAAGGGTATACTAGTGCTATATTCAGGGATCTCCCATGCCTTGAAATATCCCTCGAGGCTAGTTTCTTCAGTTTCCACAGCACATGAATTTTGCTTCGCGGCACTGTGCGCCGTCTTAACTCTCTGGATAGCTTAAGGCAAAACCTGGTGGTATTTAAGTTTGAATGGACGCCTCTATGCGTATCCCACTGCTCATGTGAATTGCAAGCAATCAAGCAACCTGGAAGTCAAAATCATTTTTTTTTCAGCAGCGCTGTCACGCTGCTCACTTTATGCATCCCAAACTTAATGAACCACTTGTCACTTATCTACCTATAGTACTCTACCTAGCTATGTGTCCCGGATCTCACAGTACAGATATAACTCTTCAGCCCCAATTTTGGGAATGAAATAGCACCATAAGCAGCAGCAATAAAGTGCATTTTTGGTCAAATTCTCCAACAAAATATATCTCTTTCATTTTACAAACAATTCTGGATGGGATCGCTTCAGTAGGAAGCTTGCACGCATCGTGAAAAGATAGGGAGGCTGGAGGATGGCATGTGCATGCGGTGCCACAAGTGTGAGAACACCTGCCGAATACAGTATAACAATTCGAAGTCCGAAATATATCATTCAAACTCAGTTATAGATCTATTTCGCCACACCTATAGTATAACTGCTGTCCTATGGTGTTCTCCTCCTCTTGTTCGTTCTGTATCCGGTAATAAATTAAAAATAGATTTGTATTACATAACACTGCACATGTGCCCTAGTAAAGGAGGAGCAAGAACGCTGAGGACGGATGGTTTAGGAGCCTGGAGCCTGGGTTCTATAGTGTTTCTTCCACTTGTTCATTCTGTATCTGGTAATTCTCATATAATACATTTTCTTACATAATATTTCCACTCTGCCCTGATAAAGGAGGAATGAGGTTTAGGAGCCTGCACCATCTTGAGATAGATAGCTGAAAAATAACAGCAGCCTAATCACAGGATTCTTAGTCTCTGATGAACTTGAAGAGTTATGGAGGCAGCAGCATGCACAGTGCTGCTCAGGCTACTGTTAGAGCTGATATAGACAACCCTTTGAAAGGCCAAAGCTGTTAGGAAGTGATGTCCTGAGATAACTGGGCCACGTGCCAACAGTTATGTCATCACTACCTCAGTAAGCATACTGAAAGGTAGGTCTGCCGGGCCAATGCCAAACGGTCAAGTCAAGAGTCCAGGTAATTGCTGTATTCAACAGGAGGTTGAACTAGGGAATACACGGGTTTTCCTACAGTATATATAGTAACTGGTATAGGGGTTAATACCCAAAGAAGAGAACAATAAGAAAGGACATGTAAGCTATCCTGTGAGAACATAACTCAGAGAAAGGAGAAATACAAGGCCGCCCATTGGTAGAAGATGAGTCAAGAGAGATAACATGTGAAAAGAGATAGCATTCATGAGAAGTTGTACTCAGAGAAGGGTACTGTCCAATGGCAATGCTTGGAATGAAAATGGAATGAGATAGGCATGGGAAAATCATAACAAAAGCCTCACTAGCCAGAGGCCCGAGTCCAAGTCTTGACTCATGAGTAGAACTTAGACCACAGTCGACTCTCAAGTAGTAGAGCAATACAACAGCATAGGAGAGATGGGGAGAATAGGCCAGCTAGCATGTTCACTGGTCATGCCCGGTTGAACTTGACCAATCAAAAGGGACAGTCTTCCTGGGAAGTCGAGCTCGACACAGTCAACTATATACTGAACTGGTAGTAGTAGAAGTTGTGCAGCATTTTCTGACTTCTACCAGCAAGGGGTCACGGTTGGTGTTAGCCAGTGCCCACTGCCACACGAGGGAATCCAGCTGACTATTGCTTTATGTGACATACCCGGACCCTAACCACCAGGGCAGTCCCCCCCTCCCTGAAAGACAGTCAGTAATCTTCACCCCAACTGCCTCACCTTAACCCACATCCTAACCAGGGGGGCACCCGCCCCCCCGGGAGTCCGGGACCCCTCCAACCCACACCCTACCCCAAACCCTAACAGTCGGGCAGGGGAGCAATGCTTTCTGCTAGTTCGCTGTGGCAAACAGTTGCCGGCGGCGGAGCGAGGTGCTAGGGGAGGCTCGGGGCTGCCGGGAGATGTGGCACTATTGTGGCCAAACTGGTATAAGTCAGAGATCGAACCGCGGAACTCCAACTTCTACTTCTACCAGCTTGGTAGTACCGAAGAATTGGGGCGAGGTCTGTCTGATAAATCTCGCCTTGAATGGTATACATGGACCTAGGTGCTCTCTGCAGAGTCTACACAGGTCCAGCAGCAATTCAAGAGCATCGTCTATCCCATATGCATGGCATGGGATAGATGATGCCGGTGCAACCATCAAACGGGCTGTCGGCCACGAGTACTATACACTGATAGCCTCCAGGAAGGACTGTTCCACTGGGTCTATGAGGGTATATATGTAATGTCCACATATCGGCTACGAGTCGGTGGACCTATCGGAAGGTCCAGGCACGCTTCAGAGTTCAATACGCCAAGTCGTAATCAAGACAGCTCTGACTGATCTTAACATTCAAGCTAACATGCTTTATAGTGATAGAAATACTGCAGCGTAGCCAGCCAGCGACAGAGAGAAACCGACACATGAGACTCAGTGAAGGAATGAGTGTGGTAACGGAGAAATAGCAGTGTTGAAAGCGTCCAGTTAGTTGTGCACCAAGCCCAAATAGACCCCAAGAATGAAAAAAGGCCAGACCTCAACGCCTACACTGCTCCTACAAGCTTGTTCTTGCTCGTACCCCCGATCTGCCGACGGTAATCCGCGTTCATGTACTGGGCCCTGTCGTTGTTATCAGTGCGGCGGACGAAGACCCTCCGACCACGAAAAAGATATCTCCTTCTGCGATCAACTGCTGCGTTACTGTCGACAGTGGTGTCGCTCTCGAGATTGAGACCCAGAGTCCCCGACACACTCGCGGCCAGATCCGCCCCAGCATCAGCGGCGGCCGACAGGTTGGTGTTGCTCGCGAGGTCAACATCGGCAGCAGTGTCGGTGGCCACCGAAGTACTACTGGAGATAGTTGAGTCGACGTCAGCACCCAACGTCAGGCCAAGGCCGTCGCTATCGCCTTCTTCCTCGCAGTCCTCCGTGCTACTAGTATCCCCAAGGCCGACGGTAGTATTGAGGCTGGTGGAGCTTCCTATCTGGACACCAGTAGGAAGGACGCCGATATTGGCACCGGTGCCCAGGCTGCTGCCGAGCGAACCCGACTCCGGGACGGGTCCAGGTAGTGTTGATTCGGAGGATGGCGAACCGGTAGTAGAGGCATCACCATTGCCTTCGGTTCCAAAGCCAATAGTGGTTGCAACCCCAGTAGATAGAGAGCTCGTGACGTTGGTCAGATCATCAGGAACACTCGTGGTACCAGAAACCATGGAAGACGAGTCTGCTCCAAGACCGACCCCGACTTCAAGACCGACACCTGACTCGAGACCAGCGCCAGTACTAATGCTGGATCCATTAGATGGAGATTCTTCTCCGGTTGCCGTAGCGCTTCCTGCGGGAGAACTAGAGACCCCAGTACCAACGCCGACCTCCGTAGAATCGCCTAGGCCGACCGCGGTGTTGAGAGTGGTCCCAGCAGATCCAGAGACACCAGTATCCACGCCTAAACCCAGACCGGAGCCGACAGTGACGTTGGCAGAAATGTCACCGCTGGCCTCAACGGAAGTACCAGCTTCCGATCCCACGTTCGAAGAAGCCTCACCAGAAGTGCATCCACATGGTGCGCCCGAACCGTTACCAGCGTCTTCACCCCCGCTCGATGTACCAGCGGAGGAAGATGGCTTAGACCCGGAAGATTGAGCCCCAACATTTGTGCCAGTTCCAGTCCCGGTTCCAGAAGTCGCGGTGCCTTCGCCGCTGACACCGGTAGAGATGGGCGTACCAGTGCTTGAGCCACCCCCAGAGGAGACTGAACCACCACTAGAATCTGTGCCGGAATCGATCGCCTTGGGGACGCTGCTGACAGACGTGCGAGAGCTGACAGTACTGCTACTGGAAGTGGAAACCCCATCACCGCAGTCCTGTCCGGATGAGCCATTGCCGGGGGTGCCAGTAGCAGTCGTCACGGTCCCGGTCGAACTGACATGACCGCCCTTCGCCATGCAGCTTTCACCAGTTCCGCTCTTGGTGTAGCCAGCGTCACATTGGAAGGCGCATACATCGTCCGCAGAGCACATGGGCTGGGAGTGCGGAGGGTAGGAACACTGCTTCGATCCCGGCGCGCCAATAATCTACAGCAAACGATTCGTTGTCCTTCAGCCTCAGGAAGTCGCGGTAAGGAGCGCACGTACCAGCTTCGAGAGCGCGTCAGTCACCACGCTAGTCCCAAGGGTATCGACCAGAAGAGCGGCCTTGGTGTCCGACTCAAGATACACCGGCAGCGCAGAAAGACATAGACAGGTGTCGACACCGGTGAGAGCATCCAAAGAGATACCAAGGAGGTTCGTCGACGAGATCGCATTCGCGTCGATATATGCGCAGGTATCGAGGAGACTGTCCCTCCGGTTGAGCGGCCGGAGACCACGAAGAGCAGGGCGGGGGAGAGCTGCAACGAGCGAGAAGGGTAAGAGAGCGTGGGCGACGCTGAAACGCATCGTGGGCAGGGAAAGAGTGGAAGTCCGCTGGGCGGTGCAAGGGTGGACAAGAAAGAGTTCCGGGGCAAGTTGGAAAAGCGGAAATCAACCACCTCGAGGACTTATATACCTCCATCCCGTGGAAGCACTCGAAGGAAGCACGGGGAAGGAAGGGTGCGTCGACGGGAAAGGGAATGCGATTGCCGGATTCGGAAGGACCACTACCAGAATGAGCGTTTGTACGGAAGCGCAGATCCTTGCCACACTTCCTTTGGACTCTTCACACGGCTTCGGTCCCTTCACATTCACGTCGAGGCTATAGATTCCGCCGTCAGTGCCACACCACCAATCACAGGGCGAGGAGCGGGACAGTCTCGCGACTGAGGTCAACAAGGACTAGAAAATGGATATATTAATATGTACAATGGATCCTAGATACATTACCCTTGTAGATACACTTATTAAATCAAGCATAGCCAACCCAACAATTCGCACAGATTATAGCTTAGCCTTGGCCTTGATAGCGGTGACCTCGGTCTTTGCCCGGTCGCGGAGTACTCGCCGGAGGATTTTGCCTGAAGGACTAGGAGAAAGGTTCGACATCAGTGTTGCGCTGCCATGAATAATTTCTTTTTACTCACTTCTTAGGGATAACGTCGATGATGGCCACACCTCCCCTGAGATACTTGTGCTTCGCCACACGCCCGCGCACCCATTCCTGGATCTTCTTCTCGAAGGCGTCCTTATCCTGCTGCGACTGTACGGACTTGGGATTTACGTGCACGATGTACGCCCTAAGGAAGAATTAGCCTGAGATAAAAACAAGCACAATCCAGCCACAATTACCTAGGTACTTCCGTGGCCTCCTCCACGCTCTCGACTCCGATAACGGCGACATCAGCGATTTCAGGGTGTTGTATGAGCATTTGCTCCAGCTCGGCGGGGGGAACTTGGAAGCCCTGTCATATGCCACGTCAGCGTGATGACGTGTAATTGAAAGAGCGGTACACGCCTTGTACTTGATCAACTCTTTCCTCCGATCCACGATATACCAGTAGCCATCCTCGTCCACTTGTGCTACATCTCCAGTCTTGAACCACCCATCTCTTGTGATCGAGTTCTGTGTTGCCTCTACATTGTTCAAGTATCCCTGTTGTCAGGCCTTCAGCTACTTGCAACGGTCGGTCGATCAAGGCGCTGACCTTCATGATACTCGGGCCCCTAAGCCAGAGCTCCCCGCTCTCCTCCTTCGTCTCGTCAATATCCACATCTTCCTCGCTCAAGAGACGCGCTTCCAGATGGGGAACCAGGCGTCCGACAGACCCGACTTTTCGGATACAATCTTTGGGAGGGAGCAGGAATGCGACAGGCGTAGTCTCCGTCAGCCCGTAGCCTGTATACAAGACACCGAATTCAGCATCCAATAAAATGGCGCAAAGAAAAATGCAAACCTTGGGTAATATCGGTGGTAGCACCCACGCTGTGCAACCGGTCCTTAACCTTCTTGACAAGCCCGGCACCCAGCGGGGCAGCGCCCGAGATCATCAAGTTCAGCGACGTCAAGTCGTACTTTCCGAGGGCTACTCGGGACGATCAGTACTACATCAAGTCAGGTGCAGCCATTCACCCACCAGGATAGTTAGTCAGCACGACCAGGACTGGCGGGACGACCATCATGCAGGTAATCTTGTACTTCTGCACGTTGACACACCATGCCTCGGGGTTGAAGCCTGGCATGATGGCGAGCGGGGCATTCTGGGTGAGCGGGTGATGCAGGAGTCCGGTGAGACCTGGATATCTAATTTTAGTTGAAGTTTCGCCGGACAACCAAACGACGTACCGAAGATATGATAAAAGGGCAGGAACCCTAGCATCACGTCGTTCCCAGACTTGAGGTCCCACACCTCGTTGAGCATCTCTGCGTGCGACGTCACGTTATAGTGCGTCGTCTGTCTTCATGGTAAGGCCTGGAACACGAAAACTTCCCCTTGCACGCACCTCGACACCCTTCGGCCGCCCGGTGGTCCCACTCGAATAGCACAAGTATGCCGTCTCGTTCACTTCCAGCCCCGAGAATTGCTCCTCCTTCTGCAGGGCCCCCTCCCCAAGCAAGTCCTGCATCCACACCAACCCCTCCACCTCCTTCGTCCCCGCGAGCTTCCTCTCCTCCTCAGCGCTTACACTGCCCCACCCACTCCCGCCCGCAATAATAATCCGCTTCCGCGCCTCCTCCCGTCCCTTCGCGCCATACACCTCCCCAAACATCTTCAGCGCGACCGGCAGCAAGGCCGGGTGCGCGAAGATCAGCTTCGCGCCCGAGTCCTTGTACTGGTACCCCAGTTCGTAAGGAACGTACGAGCTGTTCGCCAGCGTCACTTTCAGGCCCGCGGCGATGCTCCCATGCAGGAGGACCGGGAATGCGAGCGAGTTTGGGGAGAATATCATCACGGTGTCCCCCCGTTTTACTTTCACTCCCCCCTGCGGGAGGGCGGGAAAGGCGTTCGTTAGACCATGGCCCCATTGCAGGGCGAGGTCCTTGAGCTCCCCCCGAGAGATCGACCGTCCGGTGACGGTGTCGATGAACGCCGTCTTCGATGCGGTCGATGCGAAATTAGGACCTGAGAACAGGTAAGTAAAGACGGAGCATTGCGGTAAATGAGGTCGGGGGTAGGTGGAAGTATAGACTTTCATGGTCGAAACGAAGGGAGGGACGCGATGGACAGACGAAAAGCTTTCCGGGGAGGGCGTTATGGCTCGTGTTATATAGCGTATTACCCTCCTTTCACCTGCCGCGTTCTGGTGATCGCTGGGTCCGAGACACCACCGCCACATCTTGCGGGCGTACCTTTCGGACCGCCTCTGTCGGATGGTTCGCACGCCACATCGCTGGGCTTCGACTGGCCGCACATCACGCTAGGCTTTGCTCTTCCTGTTCCGCTGCACTCATCGCGTACTGGGTCTTCGTGCAAGGAAAGCCTCCTCATTCTCCACAAATAATTAACAATTGAAAGTCTTCAGAGTCTGCACCGGCTTTCGGAGATGCCGGTAGCCCCTCCAGCTCCTTGCCGACCGGTATAGAAGATTCTTTTCGACTCGGAAGACCGTTCTGAAAACATGAGGTTACGACGCTCGCATCTGCAATAGAATACTCGGGTACTGCAAAGACAGTCGACCACGGCGTCTTACAACTGTCTGCCTCTCCTTCCTGTCAATGCCAATAGGACGAATGCCGGAGAGTGAGCATGGCCTCTGAGACTGACGAGCCTTACACCAAGTTATAACCATTTGAGGCCGCTCTCTGTCTGGCCTTCCCGGATTACGTGATCCTACCCTCAGGCATCCTGCAGCGTCCGGCTATGTCACTCCCGGCTACCATTTGTGTCTTCTAAGACACGCCGGCATACAGGCGATGTTGGGAACCCTTCGTCATTGTCAGAGCCTGCTCGGCATCCATCGAATCAAAGCGCATAATTACAATCTCGAGAGAATGCGCGGTCCTACTCATGTTGCTCGTATTGACTTTATCAGACCAGTAGTGAACGAGCCACAATGCTTTCCAAACATATTGACTTGCAAGTGCGTCTTACTTAAATAATCATCTGCTCAATAAGTTAACCACGTTTAGTGCCCCCCAATACCGACATTAATTAATATCTACCGACTAAGCCGCGCTGATTATGCCGGGAAGGTTCGTAGCGAAAGGATAGTCAATATAGCCCTCTGCTCCCTGTGTATAGAATGTTGCTCTGTTGGGCGGGTTGACGGGTAGCGACTGCTTCATTCGCAAGGGTAAGTCGGGCTACAGCAACCATCGTCAGCTTTTATCCGGGTGAGTCCTGCAAACAGGAACGGTGTACTCACGTTCGCCAGGAAAGCCCGTCCAAAGGCGATCAGGTATCCATACTTGTCCGCCGCCTCGAACGCCGTCTTGCAGCGATACTCACCAGCGCTGATGATCGGCCTGGGCTGCCATATCTCGCGGATGAAGTCGTTCGACTCGTCCTCGCTGATCGGCTCAGCAGTGCCAGCGCCGACAATGCCCGGCTCGATGATGTGCAGGAAGGCGATGTCGGGATACTCATCCCGCAGGCGGGAGATGAAGTACTCGAACGTCGGGCGCGGGTCCTGCATACGCATATCTGCGCTGGACTCAGCTTAGAGTCGCGGCGGACTGCGGTGCGCTCTCACCTCCATATGTGCTCCATGGACTGATCCTCACTGCGGTTTTTCGCTCTCCCACGACGTCCGTGACGGCTTTGATTACCTCCAGGGAGAACCGTGCCCGGTTCTCTATCGACCCGCCGTACTCATCCGTACGCTGATTCGCGGTGTCTTGCAAAAACTGGTCGAGCAGGTATCCATTCGCACAATGGACCTCCACACCGTCAAAGCCCGCCTTATGCACGGCGTTATCGGCAGCCGTCGCAAACGCCTGCACGTACTCCTTGATCTCCGCGACAGTCAGCTCGCGGGGAACGGGCTCGGGCTGGTGCTTGAGGGGGATAGGCGAGGGGCCCGCAAACGCGTCCTGCAGCCCTTGTTCCTGGAGCACGGCTGCGTCCGCCTGCCGCTCCATGGCGTACAGCTGCATGTATATGTACGAGCCGCGCGCGTGCACGGCGTCTGCCACCTGCGAAAAAAGGTTAGACTGGGCCCGGATACTGTATTATGGCAAGCTACTAATGACCTTCTTCCATGCATCCACCTGCGCGGCGTTCCAGATCCCGGGGGAGAAGGGGCGCCCGCCAGCCTGGGGCGAGATGAAGGTGCCTTCGGTGATGAGCAGCGTGCCGGGGGCGCTCCCCCGTTGGCTGTAGTATTCAGCTGCGAGGTCGGCACGGATGACAGACTGGGCGTCCGCGCGGCACCGGGTTAGGGGCGCGAGGACGATGCGGTGCGCGAGGGTCAGGTCGCCAATTTGGATGGTATCGAATAGCTTGGATGTGGGCATGCTGGCTTTGCTGGGTCTGTTGGGCTTGCGCTGTGGATGGCATTATCTGGATTCCAGGCTGGCTTTTATCGAGTGCCTACTCGCTGACCGAGCGCCTTGGCTTACTAACGCACTTGATTAGCAATCTGTTGTCGAAGGTGCTATGCCCCTGATGGATGGAGGTTCGCAATAATTCCGTGATCACTTACAGGCTGCCAATGCCCGTTCTCCTGACGTTTCATGTACATGGTCGAGTCGAATCGGGGGTGGACCACCGATGCGAGAATTAGGTGGTCGGCTTGAGGACGCCGACATCACCCATGTTGGTCAGTCATACAAGCTAGATTCACTGATGTGGTTATAAGAAACCAGGAACGGCCTGAAGAAGAATTCCGCTAGGGAGAAAAGCTATCAGCTCTATTACACGTCGAGCACGGAGACTCAGTAATCAGTGGCTGTGAACGTGCAGCATATGGAGACATTTATCGGCGGCGTCATACCCAAGTCATACCTCCTGTCATATTAATACTCTGATAGAAAAACAAGACATTGCATTTAATTATGGAGTATTACATCTAGTCGCAGTGTGTATATGTACGTTAAGGTGTGTCCATCACTGAGTCCATCAAAAGCAGCAGAGCCTACGCTCCCAAACGACTCCGCAAGGTGCTCGGTGCACAATATATAGACGGAACTAAAGCCGAGGGACAGGCGTGACAGCTCGCTCTGGTGCGTACTTGGCCTGAGGGAATAGACAATGATATTCAACGCAAGACCAAAGGACGAAGAGTGATGGTGCTTACCATCTCGTTCTCTTTCTTCATGTATCCGCACTTCTCATAGAAGGCTACAGTGCTCTGAGATCAGGACCTCCTTCCTATCCCGTACAAACTATACCACTTACGGATATTCGCATCGCTGCAATTCAGAATCGTCTTGTAGCAGCCACTCCTCTCACTAATCCCCGTCAGCGCCTGAATGATCCTCAAACCGAGCTTCTTTCCCTGCTGTCGCTTATCCACAGCTATATCCTCAATGTGCCCCACGCTCGAGAGCCCCCTCAAGAACTTCCGCTCGACAAAGAGTGTTCCCACGGCGACAATTGCGTCTGAGGCCTTGTCGACTATGACGATAGTGTAGTATGTCTTGGGCGTAGAGCGTATTGCGTTGAACTGCGCAACCCACGCGGGCTCGCCGGGGTCCGTCACGATGGTGAGCACGGACAGGACTTGGAGGTGGCCACGACGGTAGTCTGTGGAGGCTAGAGGCCGAATCTAGGGAAAATGAAAGAAACATTAGTTCAAACAATATACCCAGACGAGAGACACGTACGTGTAAGTCAGGATGTAGCTGACTCTTCACGTCCTCCCCAATTATGTCAGGCGGGAACAGCAGGTCAAGCTCAGAGTCGGGCGTGAAAGGCATTATTAACGTTGAAGTTCCAGTGGAAAGTAGAGTCAGAGTCTATAAAGAAGAAAAAGACACGAGCAGGGAGGATAGGGAAACGAAAGGAAAGAGAAGGACGGAGCTGGCACTTGAGGCAGGGGTGACGAACGTTGGTTGCCTTTTATATCGATTATATGGGCGCTCTTACAGCATCGTCGCAACCGAGGCGGTGAGGCAAACCCCGAGGTAAAACAGCCTCTGAAGCTGTGGCAGTCGGTGCTAACTATCTGTTTTCTGTTTTCCAAATGATGCACCGATGTGATGCATGAATTAGTTCTCCAATCGAAGGATGCAGAGATATTCGAGCAGGAGGATTGCCGGAGGGAATCATTCGAACGAATGAGTGCTGTACGTATACGGCAGAACTTCGGATAACACATACACCCTTCGTTCGTCCCGGGCGAAGCAGACGGAAATGTAGTCGTCATACATTGAGATCGATAGCGAAGAGTGCAGAAACAAGGCGACGGACTGACACCGCGAGCCAACGACTGTACATGAAAAGCATGGTGCATGATGAATTGCCATTCGCCCTGTCGTAGCGTGCCGGGCAGCATATGCCATACAAACGGATCCATAAGTGCAACCCAACCCGACTCAACGACCGCCCTTGGAACCCTTCATCTGCTGTCTCGAGATCTTGGGGGCGCCAGCGGGTCCCCGAGGAGCCTTCAGAGAGTCCACATTAGCGCCACGTTCCTCCAAAGATACGGTAGGAGACATCCACTCACCTTGGGCTTGTTCGTAGCCTTATCCTTCTCCTTCTCCCGCTTCTCCGACTTAGCCTTAGCGATGGCGGCTTGGCGGGCTTCGTTACGCGCCTGCGCGGTCTGGTTGCGGCGGGCGATGATGGAGGCAAGGTCGGCACCAACGATGCCACGCTGGTGCTTCACAGTCCGGCGCGAACGCTTCTTCGCAACTTCCTCCGTGATGCCCTTCTTGTGCATCCGACGGTAAACCTGTGTCCATGCGATCTTGCGCGGATTCTTGCGCTGCAGGAAGAGGGATTCATTTTTCGAGGTCGCGAAACGGAAGATCTGGTGGAGGAGAAAGTGCTGGCCTAAGCAGAGAACAGCGGAACAGTCTATAGAGACTCACTTTGCTGTCGCCACGGACGAACAGCCTGCCCTTGCTGGGGTAGATACGGTAGCCGGAGAACGAGTCGATTTCGACCTTCTACACTCCCCATCATACCGTCAGTGCTCTGTCCTCCACAAAGTAGTCAAACTACGTACCATCTGCAATCGCAAAGCAACCAAGAAGGTAGTCGGTCAGTAACGCTCTGAATCCTCATACCCAATCCCGGCGGTCACGCCTCATCCAAGCCATTCATGTCCAATCCATCCTGTTCCGCCCCGCTTCTCTCACTCATCTCGTCCATAGCATCGTAGGTCCCTCCCACCGATAGTATAATGCAGAAAATCATGGATTCGTGCTCACCTTGAGGGATCTCCGGGACTTGCAGCTGTTGTTGTGTGCGTCGGGCGGGCAGTACTCGATGAGGGTCCCGCGCGTCGGGTGTTGCCGGAATTCCTTGGGACCCGTGGGACCACGCGGTGCCACACTGCATTTCGTAGCTTCTCCCCCGCATCTACTTTCTTACAGGCAACCGTTTATTATTGAAAGAAAGTAATGTCTTGTCGTTCTCTTCTGAAATTCGCGTTTTTTCCAAATGACCATGGAGCTACATACCTCCCCACCGGCCTACACCGTCTTCGTGGCATGGAGATTGTGGCATCCGATCTGTCCGGATCAGGGCACAAGGACAACCAATCTGTGGACGCTTTGGAATAGGCGACCATTGACGATCGAGGTGTTTCTACCGCACTCAGACCGAATAACCCTGAGGGGAAGCCTGTTATACCTCCGGGCTTCCATCTGAAATCGTTTCGTGTGAGGATGGTTGGTGTTCCTCTTCTCGCTCAAATCTCCCATTACAATACCACGAAGGTATAATAAAAATGTGAGGACGCCCTCGGCTTACCGCCCCTGGGTTGCTGAAGCGTTGTCTCCGTCACTCATCGTGCTTGATCCTTGCTGTCCTAGGAGTTGCTTCCTTATTCATTGTCGACGTGTAACATGGGGCGAAGACCTGCAGCTTTGAGTGTCTTCGGTCTATCCTCATACCTACACCAAATCTGGCGTGAATGCAATGGTCAAAGCGGAATGCACACACGTTCTACTCACGAAGCATGATGGGCCCTGCGCCGGCTGGACGTGATTGAAGATCTCAGAGACAGCAAGACGTAGCAAATGACTCGCTGCCACATAGAGATCAGAATTACATTGGCTTATGCAAGTCCATTCGGATATATCATGATATAGGCAATACGCCGCTGACAAACTTCACGTCCAGGCCATCGTCATCGATGAATAGGGTTGTCCAATGTAGAACGAATATCTACAGCCTGTACGTACAGTACGGGATCACAAAACTATGACGACCCCCTGCGAACAACTTTCTAAGCAAAACTTGTTATTAAGCGAAGGCGCTCGGTCAGCAAGTAGCCCATGGATAAAAGCCAGCCAGTGAACTGAGAATGACATCCAAAACACAACCTGCGACTCACGATGTCTACTTCCAAGCTCTTCGAACCCATCCAAGTGGGAGATGTAACCCTCGCGCACCGCGTCGTCCTCGCGCCCCTAACCCGGTGCCGCGCGGACGCCCAGGCTGTCATCTGCGCCGACCTCGCAGCAGAGTACTACGCCCAGCGCGGGAGCGCCCCCGGCACGCTGCTCATTAGCGAGGGTACTCTGATCACGGCCAAGGCTGGTGGGTGGGCCTTCTGCCCCGGGATCTGGAATGATGCGCAGGCGGCTGCGTGGAAGAAGGTCAGTGGTACTTCCAGAGGATGAGAGCCTGTTCCTGACTCTAGTTTAGGTGGCGGACGCCGTGCATGCGCGCGGATCGTACATATACATGCAGCTGTACGCCATGGGACGCGGTGCCCGCCCGACAGTGCTTGAGGAACAAGGATTCAAATTGGAAGATGTGTTCGTGGCCCCCTCGCCTATCCCTCTCAAGGATCGACCGGAGCCCATCCCCCGCGAAATGACTGTCGCGGATATCAACGAGTACGTGCAAGCGTTTGCGACAGCTGCCGGTAATGCCGTGCACAAGGCCGGCTTCGACGGTGTGGAGGTCGACTGCGCGAACGGATTCCTGCTCGACCAGTTCTTGCAAGACATGACCAACCATCGCACGGACCAGTACGGCGGTTCCGTAGAGAACCGGGTGAGGTTCCCGCTGGAAGTCATCAAAGCCGTTACGGACCTCATCGGAGCGCACAAAACCGGCATAAGAATCAGCCCTTGGAGTACCTATCAAGGTGAGAGCGTACGGCAATCCACTGCTGGCTTTCAATTCAGTTAATCATCTCGCAGATATGCGTATGGACGACGCGCGCCCGACGTTCATGTGCTTCCTCTCCCGTCTTCGAGATGACCATCCCGGTATTGCGTACATACACATCGTCGAGCCGGGCATAGCTGGGAACAATTCTGTCCAGCGTGTCAGCGGGGACGACTCGAACGACTTCGTTCGCGAGATTTGGCAGCCCAAGCCGATTATCAGCGCTGGCGGATATAGTCGCGAGACGGCGCTGGAGGCCGCAGACAAGCACGGGTATCTGATTGCCTTTGGACGGCTCTTCATAGCGAACGTAAGTACACCGACAATTTTGCAGGACTCCGGCGTATGATAGCTGACGAGGGAATCACTGCAGCCTGACTTGCCGTACCGGATCAAGGAGGGCGCACCCTACAACCCGCCCGATAGGGCAACGTTTTACACACATGGAGCAGAAGGATATGTCGACTATCCCTTTGCTAGTGACATTCCAGACATCATCAGCGCAGCTTGACAGGGAGGACATTGGGAAACACGAGATGAACAATGAAGCTGAGATTGCATAAATAATACGTACTTACTTCCTGAAACCAGAGGTGCAGGAGCAGTCCGTTACTTTTGGGTCCAATGAATGACACTCCCCATGGCTGCCTGCTTTGACGGCAATAATACCCACATGAGCGGACAGATGTCGTATCTCTCACCATGGTTCAGAATGAAGTTGCGGCATCCAACGAACGGTCATAAAGAATCAGGCACAAGTTAACACAAAGATTCTCCGAAGGCCTCTGGCCCGGAACTTCAGAAACGTCTGTACAAACCTGCGACTCTCGCGAGACGTGCGTTGTTGACCGTTGAGATGTAAAGCATCATATGACTTGTGATAGAGATCTTCGCGTCCGTCTAGAGGATGTCAGGATCTTGTTCACGCTGCAAACACCCAAATCAAATGTCGGAAGCAACCGACTCCCATTGCCTCCGACTCAAGGCGAGCACGAGGAAAATCGCAGCAGAGTGCATGTTTGGTGGCGTAGTTGAAGACGGTCCCAGCGAGGTTCAAAACATATAGTATCACACGGTTGTCAAGGGGGACGGGTCGAACACAAGCGTCGCCGATGGCATACTCCCTATCAAGGTGCTCACTCGTGAGGATTGGAGATCCGGAGAACGTCGTCGTCGATAAGAAGCAGATTCGTACACATGTGCACATACGCGAGTCGGATGGCTGCTACAAGAGATGGTCTCGAATGGTAGCGATGCCAATATTCGCCAGTAGTTTGTTTGTTCGCCCTGAGAATTACGTTGACGTCTGGCGTTGTAGTCCCAAGTTGAGACGCTAAGGCACAGAGGTCCAAGTCCACTTGCATCTCGCCACGTTTATCAAACTTGAACGGAGAGCAGAGCAGCTTCGACAGGGAATTGCTAATCAAATTAGTTGTTAGTCAGCTACAACACACCGCTCGTTAAGCAACTAGCCTTGTCAGTATGTTGGAACCAATGCGATGCCTTCGGATATTGATAGCCAGAGGATGTGGGCAGTGAGTTTTGGCCTTGTGCGGATAGAACGTACTTCCATATTAACACGAATCGGGCGCAGCGTAGCTCTAGTAGACTTTGAAACCGGATCGAACCGCTGATGCTGGCCAGTGAGGGCATAAAAACACGCGGGTACACATTGCGCCTCGCCGGGGAGATCCGGCGAACGTGCAAGTAGTTTGCGTCAGTGGAACGGAGAGGAATGATCTTGCACGATGAAGCGGGCATCCACGATGCCTCCATACAGCGCATTTACAAGTGGTAACATCTGATCCGCCAGCAAGGTGCCAAGGCCTGCACTTTGAGTTTTCTAGATATACTGTACATCATATATCTCGCGCCGAAGACCGTCACGACTATTGAGGCTTTATGCAGAATTTCGCATCAGCTCAAGATCGTAGAGACCGGGCTCAGTCACTCACGCTGCGAGCATGCAGTTTACATACACTACCCGGCAAAAGCGCGGTCACTATTAGCTGGGCCACTAAACCCGTGAGGAAATAGTACCCACCTTTCCCAGCGATAAAATACATCCCGATATACAGAAAGGTATGCGGAAAGGCCACGTACTTTAATACCAGCTGGGTTGGAACGACAGGCTATAGGGACCTAAAGGAGGAGCTTACCACGATTAAGAACGTAAAGGATGCGGCACTGCTGCAGCGTCAGGTATATGTCGGACATGGTCGCAAAGATAATCACGCACAACATCATCACACCCGCCACCACGCTGTATCTGATCAGTCGTGTGACTACTGACCTGGTGAATTTGAAGTCAGGCTAGCCGTCGATTCTATGCCGTCGGGAGCCTACCTATTTATGGATTGTGCATGCTCTCTGGAGACGTAGAGCACGTAGCATGTGCTCGCAGCGATGCCGAGGTCGGTAGAGATCGTAAAAAGAGCGAGTAATTTTGATGAAGTCTGTATAATATTATTATACGGAGTTGGCTCATACACTTGCATGTCGTACCGATAGGACATCATCGTTGCCTTCAAAGGCGGGTGACAGCAAACTGTAGGGAAGTATGAGCGATGTCATATCGCGGCAATCATGATGAACGTACGATCGTGTAACATAAACTACGAACATCAGTGAACTAGTGCAGGGCCAATTACGGTAGACTCACCTATTGAGGTCGCTGGTCATGTTTGCCCAAATTAGCGGAGGAGGCAAAGCCAAACAGCAGCCATTTCCTCACCAGCGCAGAGGGATGCCGGGACGAGCTGCCGAGACGAGACAGTCAGAATCATTCACAGGCTACGGCACAGATGGCATACAAGGATGAGAGCGCAACGCTGTTTCTTGACTGTATGACAGAAGTTTCACCAACCCTGCCTCCATAATGCAGCGGAACTTACACTTATACAGTCTCTGTATGTAGAATCTGAAACACAGAGGTTACGCGATGGCAAGCAATCCAAGCCACACATCCTGCATGTTATAGATTGCGTGGGCTTACAAATGAGCGACGGTGCAAAGTATTTCCTGTCAGAGAGAGTTAGCTACTTGCTCGGACGTCTTGATGAAGACCAACCGTTGGGATCATCTGGGCCTGACCGTGCGGCCACAAGTTGGTCAATGAACACAACAGGCATTAGAATGTACCATACACTCAGACTCCTATCGATTGCAATTACAAATAGTGAGATGCGGGCCAGGCAGGCGAAGAAAAATATCACTCGCCAGACCGCGTAGTTGTAGGCGCCTTCGTTACCGTAACATCTGGCGACCAAGTAGTGCCACATGCTGTGGCAGGCCAGACATTCTTGTAGAGTATCCAGCTAACATGATGATGTGGGAAAAATGTGGAGGATATACCAAAGATTCGACATACCACGAGGACCATCGCAACCTGAGGATGACAGTGTCGTCAGTTTCGCGCTCCATTGTGCTTTGAGAAGTCACGCACCGTCCACTTCCATACCAGTCTATCGTGATGGTACTTGTGAAAATAACAAAGGAATTGTCCACAAGTGATTCCATATAAGCTAAGTAGGTGGCAGATATTAGCGAGAGCGTATATTGGAAAACAAAATTGGCACCGACGCAGTGCACACTATAAAGCCGCATAAGACGGCTCCCCAGGTGACTCCGGCCTGCGACATATCACCGCCTACAAGCCGAGGTCCGCAGGGGAGTCCCTACTCTAAGCCAGCGTTTATATGCGGGCCCGCGCCTCGGGCTGGAATTTTTCAGGAATAGCAGGGGGTCAAACCAGAGGCAGCAGAAATTGAGGGATGAACGTAGAATTTATACAACTTGAAGATGCCATCGGAAGTGTCAAAATTCGGGTTGGCCGAATGCCGTCCTTCTCCTCTTATTTGTTGAATCTAGCAACAATCACTGCGTTTCTGACGACAGAAGACCAGAATTGGTTCGGTAAGAGTTTAGACTACTGCAGTCTATCCCCGATAAAGTGGCTTCGCAGCCCCACAAATGACGGCGCCGGGCCCTAAGGTACCTCTCAGGAATACCCTGTCTAGCGACTGGGTGGGCAACCCGTGCCGGCCCAGAACAACCCTTGAAAATATCGGACGTACGTAAGTGCAACACGACAATGAAATGAGCCAAATGACACACTGCCCGTACATCGTAGCAGATATATTCCTGTAACACAGGCGGTCGCTATACTCGAAAGGACCTGAAATCACGGCGCGTTTCATCAACCAAGTCGTGCCTTCAAGCTTAAGTGAACTAGCTCTCGGGAATGTCGAGCTTCGTATTCTGATTTCTCAGGCGTCGCGCACTGAGTGGTGAGCACCTGAGCGTAGAGGCGTGGGTGGGTTTTTACAAGGACGTTCTTACCTTGCATCTTTTCTGTCCGCTCGGCTGCTTTTGGCAGTTGGCCTCGACGTCGACCCGTTCCGCGACTTCGGGGCGCTTTGGCAACGAACGATCGCGATCAAATGCAATCAATCATCGAACGCCACTGCTATATAGGTCTCAAATCAGTGTTGTGCCAGTTCCGCAGGTATCGTCCCATAAAAACGCTGAGGTGTGACACCTCAAAATATTGAGGTGACGGCACCTCCGAATATTGAGGTGCATCTAAAAATAGAAACAAGGGTTGGGCCACGCGAAAAGAAATGCCCGCGCACAGAGTCGAACTCTGGACAGCGGGGAAAAGGATTACATAATACTACAGTGAGCGCACTAGACCGCTACGCCATAAGGCAGTGTAAAGGTTACAAAATACAGCCGCTATGTAGTCCTGGGAAACAAGCGCGCCCTA